CCCCAAAACCCCAAAACCCCAAAACCCCTGACGCAAATGCCACAACAATTTAGATGAATAAGAATTTTATAACTAATATGATAAATTAACATTAACGGAGGTTTATATTACAACACAGCAATCTAATGGTTATTACTTTACTTGTAACTTCAATAGTTGCTATGTTTACCATTCCTATCACTTTCAATAAAGTTAAGTAAATTACAACAGTGTGTTAAGTTCACTTTATGTCTAAGAAAATAACTATGCATGTTATATCATCGATACTATCCTCTTCTTTTTTCCATTTCTTGAACGCTTCTCTCACAAGACATTCAGCAGCACCTTCTGCATTTTTCTTTTGATAAAATGGATATATAATTCGTGCTACTTCGATATTTTTCAGAAACTCCCAAATTCCATCACTAGCCAAAACTATAAATTTGTCATTAGTATTCAATTCTAGTTCTGTGAATTCAGGGATAGCAGTGACACCAACTCTTGCAGCCATCATATCACCAAAAGACCTAGTCATAGCTAAACCAGGAATATCCTCATTTTTAAGCCACACTCTTAATGGACCAAGTGCGTTCCCATGTGAATCTCTATAGGAGTCTATTCTACCACCACTATTTATGATTACTTCTGCCTCAAGTTTATCGTCTGGTTTATGATCTCTTGATAAGGCGTCACAAGATAATTCTAAAAATATTTAAGGCATTTATTTTTACATTCATTGTAAGCTCTAGCAATAATTGCTCTTGAATCGCCAACATTTGCCACATATATTCTTTTTCCATAAGTTAATATACTAATACAAGTAGAACCACTATTAATATAAATTTAAAATTATTTACCTAAATCTAACATCAGAGAGTATAGAGCAGACTTCTTTATTTGTTTCAGCAAAAGCTTCTTTCATTGTATGGAAGACCTATTATCTGTCAGGGTAATTTTGGAAATCGTGATCTTTAAGGGCTTCTTTCATATGATTCTCAAGTATGAATGGAAGCCTATGCTTTAGTAATCCACTAACTTCTCTACCATATAAGCCATGTCCGTCACATACTGAAAAGAAATGACAGTGTCTAAGTCCCAAGAAATGAGGACTTGTAATGTAAGCATCTTAATTTTGTTTATTTGGATTTTAAGGTTACATTCCAGTTTTTGTAGCAAATGAAAATTTTGTTATAATGTTACTTATTTTAGGTTTCGCTGCTATATTACTGTTATTATTATTATTATTCTAAGCGCTTGTTGATTGTTCTAGCAAAGGTTTATTTTGAAGTTAAATAGTTTAAGGGTGACTACTGAGCAACTGAATCCTTTCAGTTTAAGATGGCTATTTTTACTTATTGTTCAAACTTGTACTTAACTTAATTTAGTTTTTGACATTTACTGGCTTAAAAATGTCCTGTTGATATTTTGCTTAATTTTATTGCTATTCATAAGCCATGTTGTTCATTTTTTGAATGCCTTGCAATCCCTATGGATTTACTAAAGGAGGTGGGCTCATATTTTATATGTTACTATTGCTCTATGGTTATTATTTTTTGTATGAACTTTAAGCAGATGCAGGTCTATTTGGCTATCCATTCATATTGTTGAGGTAATTTTAATATGCCGACTCAGGAACATCATTATTATGGTGATTATTAGAGGTACCTCTTGCAATATCTGGGGACTCTAATCTTCTAATACCACTAGCTGTTTACGGAAGTACCAAGTTATTTTATTGTGAATTCGATTAAGTATTATTAAGTGCTTAATAGTAATTTTAGCCAGTTAAGTTAACTTTAGCATCAAGAAGTCCATGATTCTTTTATAGTTAAGATTTTACTCTTTGTTGTCTTTAGGTATACTGATTTTTTTAACTACCTTTGAGTTAATGACCATAAAATGCGGCTGCTTACTGACTCCCATATTACAGAGATGGACCAAAAATTGATATATTGTTGCCATTTATTTAATGCCCCTTTAGGGGTTTAGGTTCTGGGGTCATTCTGTATAAGCTAGATGCATCTTTGATATCTGATAAATTATGAGAATCATTCAATACTCCTTTATTAAAGCTATCATTCTAGTTCATATTATGATTTTTAGAGTGTCCTTTTTTAAGGGGCTGACTCAACTATCGGCTATGAACAGCTTGAAGCTGTAATGCCTTAGTTTTATTATTAATAATAAGCTAGTTTGGAGTTTCAGATAGTTTTCTTGTATGATTATTAATCGTATTAGTATTAGAAGTGGGTTCAGGTGTAGAAGAATATTTTTATTGCATTTATTGGGCGTTATCATTCATTTTTTGTATTTAATGCAATCCTCTTCTCTACATGTACTACTATTACTTGCCGAATTTATCTTCACTCATCAGATTATTCATCTTTAGAACGGACTGATCTAAAATAAAGTTAATAAAAGTCAATAATTTAGAAATATTTTATTGATGACAAAAAAAAACATACTGTTTTGGTTTTATAATCCATTTGACCCTTAAAGGGTTGATGGTCCAGCATTTAGGCTTTTTCTTTTTATTGGACTGGTGTCAATATCGTTAAAATTTACTTCTCTTTGGTTTGAACTATTCGCAAATTTGCCTAATAATGAACCGTTTTGATGGCTACCTTGAATATGTTGATATTGTTAGTTATGTATATTAGTCATGTTAACACCTCCTCCAGATCCATTTTTTCCTGGATTAAATAGAATATCAGCTTTTTTAAGTTGAGTGCCTTAGTAGATTGCATTTCCATCCTTTTGGTGAGAGTTATGATTACTGTGATTTTGCTCGAAATGATTTAGCTCTAAAAGTAGTCAGAGTAAAAAAGTAAAATTTACGTTCTTTCATCATTTTATAATTTAATGATTATATTTCCTTTTGCTTGCGAATCTACTTTTATTCCTTTTTTACTTGTTTATTTAAATTAATTCGACTTATTTTAATGCACGGGGTTTTGGGGTTTTGGGG